ATACCACGATAAACGACAATCTAAATGATCTAAAACTGCGATTTATCAACATTCAGGTGATTCAACGTCTTGATATTGAATTTGATCCTACCAACTAAAACCTACAACATCGATTTCACATTTCGACACCTCATTCCCAACAAGTCGTCGTATCGTGATATCATTGTATTGTACTTATTTCACACCTGTATATATCCTGTTATCTGTTTATTAAATTGTTATAACATTTTTGTCAAAATTCTAACGTCGAGTTCGATTTATTCAACGCACCGCGTCTACCCCCAGTAGATTCATTTGGATTTTGTTCAGACATTCATTTCTATCCGGATGAAGCTACAGTGTTGAATGTACAGGCAAATACTTGGTGTAACATACAATAAAAGAGTAACAAAACAAAGTAAAGAAAGGGAGGGGAGGCCAGGGATTTATTCTGAGTAAAATATGCAAATTTAAATGAACCAATGGTATATATTTTCCAACAGAATCTCGTTGCTATGGTGGTTGCTAAGGAAAAAACTATAAACAATGATATACTTTTCAATATTTTCCCGTTTTCTTCGCGCAAATAAAAAAAATAATGCCAGGAAATGAAAAAGCAATGATCAATAATGTATAATATGGTTGTTTCGAAAATTTGACTTTTTCACAAAAACATTGTCCCAGACCACCTTATTAGATGCCTTAGACTGATCATTCCAGATGTTTTGCAATATGGCGCCCAGAGTCTGGCAAAAAAAATTTTTTTGACTGCACAGTATGGCAGTCATTACGTAGTATATACTATATAGATTTATATATATATATATATATATATATATATATATATATATATATATATATATATATATATATATATATATATATATATATATATATATAGTTTTTCGTTTTACCTCAAAAAAACCACAACAGTCTGTTTCATCCTTTCATCTTAAAGGTGTTTCCCGTCATGCCAATGAACCTAAAGAATACATTGGCATGACGGGAAACACCTTTAAGACACGGTTATATAACCACAATAAATCTTTCAATAATGTTATATACAGGAACAATACGGAGCTCTCAAAATACGTGTGGAACTTAAAGGAAAAGCAGCAGGACTTTACGATTAATTGGTCTATCTTAAAACGAGCAGCCTCGTATTCCAGCGGTGGAAAGAGATGTAACCTTTGCCTCCAAGAGAAACTTTGCATTCTAAAAGCGGATAAGTCAAACTTGCTAAATAGAAGACGCGAGTTGTTCTCGAAGTGTGTTCACCAAAAACGATTCTTGGCCGAAAAGTTTGAACGTGCGCAAGCTCAATCACGCACGCAAACTCAGTCACGCAAGCAGCACAACGGATATCAACGTCACCAAGCAGGAAAAGTTAGTTGAACATACATCGTCGCCTGAAGATCGTGAAAACGTGAAACTCAGAGTTGCGACTTAATTAATTTTAAGTAAAAAAGACAACAATTATAAAGCTCTACTAATATTGGTGTTGAGCACTCTTCAAACTACTCAGTGCGTTCATACTTTTGTTTGAATCAACGATTATTATTGAGATATATATATATATATATATATATATATATATATATATATATATATATATATATATATATATATATATATATATATATATATATATATATATATATATATATATATATATATATATATATATATATAAAAAATGATGGAAAACAATAAAACATTAAAAAATGATGAAAAGCATTGGAACACAGAAAAATCTTAATTTAACTATCTTAACGTAAAAGACTTACTGAATGACTTGTTTCGTGGCAGTCCGCATCGCCCAGCCATTTTAATGTTGGGGTTGACTATTTTCAATTCCCTAGAGTTCTCCTTTTAATTTTTTTGGTTGTTCGCCAAAGTCCATATTTTACAAGTCCATGTTTTACAAGTCCATGTTTTACAAGTCCGTGTTTTACAAGTCCATGTTTTACAAGTCCATGTTTTACAAGTCCATGTTTTACAAGTCCATGTTTTACAAGTCCATGTTTTACAAGTCCATGTTTTACAAGTCGATGTTTTACAAGTCCATGTTTTACAAGTCCATGTTTTACAAGTCCATGTTTTACAAGTCCATGTTTTACAAGTCCATGTTTTACAAGTCCATGTTTTACAAGTCCATGTTTTACAAGTCCATGTTTTACAAGTCCAGTCCATAGTTTACAAGTCCAGTCCATAGTTTACAAGTCCAGTCCATAGTTTACAAGTCCAGTCCAGTCCAGGGTCCAGTCCATGTTTTACAACATGGCCCTGCCCTGAAGTCCAGTTTTAGTAAGTTGTTCTTGAATAGTTGACGTCATGTGGTTTGGTAGCGTGCATGTTTGTCATGTGTTAATTAGGTATCAGTTTGTATGTATAATTAGAGTGTGATGTGCCGTGGGCTAAACTGATAACCAAGTAATGTGTACAAAACAATTTTGTTTAGACATAAGTGTGAGAATTGCTTGTCCGCCCCCAGAGCTAGTTGGTGAAAGAGGGAATTGTAGTGGGACCAGGCATATGCATTTAGAAAAAATGCATATAAAACATAAAAAACACATAAACACTCGTAAAAATATTAATAGTATTATGTACATCATGATCATGATGAGTATTTATATTATTATATACAAATTGGCGCGCGTGCATAGTAGAATCCGTATACATATTGTGGTATATACACCGACTGTGTATATCAATTTAATTAATTAGGATTTCATATCCCTTTGTTTAAACCTGATGTGATGTAGATGCAATGATTTATAAATAATATGCAGAGGCGCCGGAGAATCGATAATAGCGGGGGCAGATATTCATATCTTCGTGTTCACAGACTGTAAAACAATCGATTTCAAAAGAAATTAATTGGGCAGAACACGAATATATGAATATCTGTCCTCCAATTATCGATATTCCGGCGCCTCTGATAATATGTATCTCCAAAGAGTGAGAAATGCTAAAATTAAAGAGAGTAACAGTATAGGCTGAAATTTATGAAAAAGTTCATCGTCGAATTTTAGTTGTCTGATGGCACGATAAGTTTTTTGTTGTTGATTGCAGGGAAAAAAATCCAACTAGATTGCAAGAGCCTTCCTTATGTCTCTTGTTAACTTGTTTTTCTTTTGTCCCCCCATCATCATGCCTTTTTTGTTTTGGTATTGTCTTCAGACATCATCATTCTCTATCTTGGTCTTTGGTGTATGTTTTCAAGCAAGCATGACCGCAGTGATTTGTTGTATGCGTTATGTTTCCGTATAGTGTCACTGTACATAATTAATCGCTGGATTTGTTCCCAGTATTTTTTAGTTTGCTGCTTACTAGCATTTCTTTAGTGTTTTATTACGTTTGTATGCGACCATAGGATTATTTGGCCACAGTATTTTTAACGTTGGGTCGCTTTCTATTAGGTGCCAGTGTTTTTGTAGGATTTGGCCAATATGTGTTGTGGCAGTATTGAAAGGAATTCTAAGCGTTGGTTGAGTTTCTGTTTTGTTTGGTTTGTCGTTGTAAAGTAATTGTTTTTGTGTGTGTTGTGTTGCTTTCCCAAAGGCATTGTCAATTGCGTCAGTTTTGTATCCTCTAGTCATTAGAATAATTTTAAGTTTTTCTACAGGGTGTGCCCCCCAAAAAAGCGACACTATAGAAATTATCTCATTGTTCTTAAGCCGCTCTTAAACGCGCGTGATTACACGCCTGGGAATTTAATAAACTTGTATTTACATTTAAGCATTAAAAAAACGTTTTCGCTTGGTCCAAATATTTTAATGCCCGAGTCAAGCAAAACGATTACACTAACAAACGGTTTGCTTTTTTATTTTAAATTCCAGAAGCAGAAGTTTATGCACCTGTGGGATCAACTTAGTGCTAGGGCATTCAAATTAAAACAATAGGATAATTTCTATAGTGCCACTCCCCTTTGGGACACCCCATTCGCCAAATATTGACCGAAAAGGAGATGGGTACGCTGTGCAGACTATATGATGGGGATTCTCTATTTGTGACAACTGTATCTAACACAAAACCGATTGGAGTTGATAAAACCAGCGTTGCTCTAGGCGGATTTATGCAGGTAGGTTAAATTTTTAGAAAATGCACAAAGTTATAGCTATGGACTATGACTATCATATGCATCTGGCTCGATATTGGTCTGTTTTATGTTTCTCTGTAGCCTAGGTCTGTACTGAGAGATGCATGTAGCCGTGTTTTGTCCATATATAGCGTATACGGCTATATAGCTAGACCCTTGAATGTGCACAAAAGTCAAAATGGTGTACAGATCATCAGATGTATTAATTTCTATTATTTTAATTTTGAACGTATTGTCGCAGGTAAAGAATTTCCTAACAGATTTGTATCCGCAAATGTCAGCTGGCCAAGATGGTTTTTGACGCTCGATTCAACATGGCAATTGTCCGACCAAAAGCTTTAACCCGCAAGGAAAGTTCCATTTACGAGGAAGTGCTGGCAAGATCAAATCTCCAAGACCTTAACGATCTTTTCAACACCATCTACCGAGACCACAACGGAGAAGACGTAGAAGTCATCTTGACTACTGCCTGGACGAGGAAGCTCTGGCAGAATGTGATGAATTTGACGAGCAAATTTGTTCAAGGCTTAATTCAAGTTGGCAGACGGGAAATTTGATGACACGAGCGACCAAAGAACGACGCCATGTTGTTCGCTGGTCAGTAATTTTATACGTTCTTTACCAATACACAAGGAGAGCCATTTTCAAGGCGTACGGCCCAATATCTAAGAGGATTCCCAAACGATATGTGAAGTATGCTATCAAGTTGAACGAGTACTTCCAAAAGCAGAAGGGAATTATAGAAAAGGTTTGTAGCATGTTTCAAATTGTTCTCTAATAAAAAAACACAAAACTCCGACAAGACTAAACTTCTAATTCGTCCGGTACCGCATGTAAACGGGGTCCAAACTGCATGCATGCATAAAATTAAAATGTACATTGGCTTGTTTTATCACGAAACAATGTTCAACCTTAGAAAATAGCTCGTCATTTTAAATCTTTAAAATTAAAAATATAGAACATTTCGATTTGGTTAAATATATCATAATGTTTTGGTAAGGAAAAACTATACAGAACGTTCATATTCTGTATAGTATAGAGTGTCGAGAATTCGCCTCCGCTTTAACGTAGTTCCCGAAAAGTCACGAAATCACAAATGTTTTAATAATATATTATATTTAACCCAACAGTAACAATAAATCAATTAATAGAATAGTATAGAATGTTCTCCCTTGTGTCCCAGTTAACGTAATGTTCCCAATATATATATATATATATATATATATATATATATATATATATATTGTCTATCGATTAGACCTTCTCACAATCGCTCACAGTCACAGTCACAATTCTCTCTCGAATATCTCGATCCTTGTGACTCACTCATTTTTTTTGCACACTCACTCGACTCATTCTCCTCTAATCTCTCTCGACTTCGTGCGTCATGCATGTCAACATATTAATTAGATCTATAATTATCAGTCAGTTCCGACACACTCCCCCATATATCTCAACTGAGATATATGCTCACTAAGGGACTGACATCGTCGTAGTTCCTTATGGTCTACCTATATAAACAACTAAAATGTTAGTTAATAAAATATTAAAATAAATGTCACCAATCTTCTTCTTCTGCTTCTTGTTGTATACGGACGGTTGCTGCAGCTGCCGCGTCACGTCTCGGTCTAGGGTTGAAGGTAGGGGCGGTCGGGTTCAAACT